GAAAGGCCTTAAATGTGCAAAGTCCAGTACACTGAAAATATGCAGCTTGTCTTCTGATGTCTCACACCTGGGTCTACATCATGACTTAAATGATGCATTAAGTAGGTATGATAGCACTTGTTGCATGGAACTCTGCAAAAAACCACCTTGCCTTGTTCTGTACAATTGCTATGCAGACAAATCACTGAAGAAGTAATACAACACAATCTTGCTGTGGATAGCTGAGTAATGCAGTTAGTATTTTTCTTAATGGAACTCAGAGTTTGAGGTTAGTGGTTGCAGACCAAAGTGGTATGCTTTTTTTCAGAACTTGAGAATTTCCTGCTTACAGAAAGTAGCACAGTTACTAGTCCTAGAAAGGTAACCATCTCCCTTCCATTACACACATGTGGCAGCTAACCCAACATGCTGGAAAGGCAGATCAATTCGGTAGTACTTGCTCAGACTTCAAATGTTTTGCAGGCACTTTACCAAACATATGAAAAAATAGAATAGTAGGTTATTTATCCTCCACAAGATTAAATAATGTTATTAAGAATAAAAGTTGCTGACACATCAGTAGCTAATATATCCAGAGTCTAAAGCTAATATAAATAAAATCTGTTCCTTTTAAATTGTACCAAAATGATTAATGGACACAGTTACACACATAATGAAGAAGGACAGTTTTTAGACAATCTGGACATATTTTCTGTCAGCGAGAGGAATCTTAGAGGACCATAAGGCCCCAATTAAGAAGCTACACGGGAAAAGAAAGCTTAAGCCCTATGTAAGAGATATTCTTCCCTTTTGAGGAGAAAAAATCATCAGACCCAAAGAGCAGAGAGAAAAAAAAAAGACTCTGTGATGACGCTTACATTGCTATCCAAGTGGAAATAGTTATTCATACCATTTGCACACTTAGTGTCTTACTGCTGCATAAGACAAAACACAAAAGATACTTTCCAACACAAATTCTCTGTTGCTCTTTTCAGTGCCTCTTTGAACTGTCTGCCTTTTCACTGAATGGACATGAAGAGGATACAGCTGTGTTTTTCTCTACATTCTTTTCTACTAAACTCGATCTATGGGAAAGGGTACAATCATAAAAAAAAAAAACCAACACCACCATCAAAGGAAAGAAAAACAGCATGCAAAAATCCTCCTGCCATTCAGGAGGCAATCTGAAACTCAAGTCTTTATATTTTAGATATCTTAACGTTCAGGTTGATTTTCAGAATTGGCTTTAGAGAATGTTCTCATTGTGTGTTATGAAGGAAAATATTAAATTATCTCCACATGCTGTCCACAGTCAGGTTTTTTTTTTTTTTGCAGGCATTACAGCTTCTCTGGGGTACAGCTTTTCAAACATCCAGTAAAAAAAAAAGCTGATATCCTCCTCTTTTGTCAAACAACTCCCATACTTTCTTAAAAGCAGTAACTTGTGAGCAAATGAATTTGATTTTGATCACAGTGAAATACCTCACAAATGATGTCTGTAATCCTCAGTGCTATCTTTGCTGCAGAAAGGTGAGCTCCCTCTACATTTGCCTGCAGTGCAACTTGTGTTTGCTACACAGTGTCCCTTGGCTTTCTCTGGATAGTTTTTATCTGTGCGTAGTGAGGGAAGGCATCATTTCCCTCTCACTTACACCCTCTTTGTAGGCCTCTCAGGGAAAATCTTTTTCTGAACAGGCTATCAATACGTTTGTTGCTTTCTACAGAAATGAGAAATTTCTCTTTTCCCTGTGCCCCGCTCAGTGTGAGCAATGGGATGTGACACCAAGGGTACATCCAGTGATTTAACTGATTTAGCTGCGTGTTCTGCCATCTACATCTGCACTGACATCATAGCCACCATAAGGCCTCCTGTACAGTTAGAAGCCTGCGAGTGAACCAGTGTATGAGAGGAATTAAAAGACTCCTCTAATCAATGAATATTCAGCTCAGAGTAGCAATTACTTCATTCTTGGAGAGTGCGAAAATCCCATGGAGCCATGAGAAATGCTGCATTGTTCAACTGGCAGCTCTGTACACGAGCGATACAGGCTGCTATACAATGCCAGATCTAACAGTTAAATAAGTTCATTTAAAAAAAGTTACAATCTAGCATATGTGGCATAAGAGACCACTGACGAATTCTGACGGTCACACCCACAACAATACATTATATTTCGGCCTAAGTATGTCCTCTGCACCTTTTGTAAGCTAAGCTTTTTGTTTTCTTTAACTATTTGCAAAGCAGTAATAAATACTCAGGCTCAGAAAAGAAGTATTTCTCATGCCTGCTACTTAATTACAATTTAAAGACTCAAGACTGGATTGGTCTAAGATACATTTTTCAAGTATTCTCTCCTTGTTTATAGTACGACAGTAGTACCTTATTGCACATTGTTTGTGAAGGACTCTCTTCTACAAGGGTGGGAAATTATTTCGTTCCGGGCATTTGACAGACTTGAACCCTGGCAAAATGACCTTCCCCTTCCGATACAGATCATCCTGCAAACCTTTGTTCATCCTCTGCACCAACAGCTTCTCATAGAGCAGTGGGTGATAAGCCCCTAAGGTACAAGCTGCATCGTAGTAGAGTTCGTGGTAGTGACATAGGTCGGTCTGTCGGACTGAAGGGATGTACTCGTACACGTGCACTTCGTTACACATGGACATCATGATGAGGATACCTGGAGCAAAAAGTGAAAACAAGAGTGAACTTACAAAGACTGTGATCCCTACAGAGTTGAGAAGGCAGTACATGAAGCATAAGGACAGAGTAAAAGGCCTGTAAGTGCTTGCATAGCATCAGTCTGCTTGAGGGAGAAGAGTGCTCTCTCCCACCTCCCTGTTTACCCCACCCTGTCCACAAAATATCCCACACAAGAATCAAGGATCTAAAGTAGCTGTGCACTAAGATTTTGAGCCAACTGATGATGTTTCATGGTTATACTGTATATCATGAATTCTTGAAATTGTTTACCAAGACAGACTAGGTATACGCATTCAGTTGGACAATTCAGATTACGCATACATGCAGAGCAGTTGCCTGATGTTTTTAAGGAGCTTTTCTTTATATTTCTACCAAACACACAACTAATTTTTGGCCTCTCATGCACAAGAGATCTAAAAAACTTTCAGTTATTCTCTTTCCAGCCAACGCTGTGCTTTAAGATATATTTGTTTTGCAAACGTTTACATACATTTTTATCTTCAAGGCTCTGGAGAATCTTACTATTTGCCCTTTCCTTTCTTTGTATATAATAGCAATGAGAAAGAAAAACTGAAAAATGATCCAGTATCACCCATGTTTCTTCACTTGACAAGTTTTGAATGGTTGCTTCCAAACATTGGCAATATTGGGATGCCAATGTAATCATTGAAACATCTACACCTCATTACAATGTTGGTCTTTTTGGGCCTGGAATTGAAGCAATTCCCCTTTTTCCATTCATCTGCTTCTCTATAGTCAGAAAGACATTGCCAGAAAAGCAGCCATCTCTGGCAGTGTTCAAGAGGCATCTGGACAAGGAGCTGCGAGATCTGGTTTAGTAGCTTGTGGTAGCAGTGGTAGTGTGAAGACGGTTGGACTAGATGATCTTATAGGTCGTTTCCAACCTTGTGATTCTATGATTCTCTATGATTCTATGATTCTAAGTACATGCAAAAGAAGCATCAACCAATATTGGTGTGTGAAAGCCCAGAGTTTCTCAGAATTTTCTAGTGGGTTTCAAGGAGGAAGACTCAGAAAGGTGAAGTCCCTCTTAGAGCAGTGTCTTCAAGAGGAAAAACCTCATTCCACCTTCTGTTCAGCAAGGAGGAACCTACAAAATACTAACTCACTCTTTCTTGCCATGTCTGAATAGCAGACAATCACCTGCACTGTCAATAGCTGCATAGAAAGACCATAAGGAAATGTTTAAAGCCCCTATTTAAAGCCAGCTAAAGGTTAGCTTTAACCTTATGTGCAATCCTAAGATGCTGTTGTTACTCTCCTTAATTCCATGGCTTGGGATGAAAAATAAGACCAGCAGAGGATCTGGAGGGAAACACGTGCGTAGGCAGAAGGTTTTTTAGCTCTGAGAGAAACTTATATGTTGCATTTGCATATTTTTAAAGGGACTAATATGATATATTGATCAACAGCACTGCCTAAACTGCAATACTTTCACATCAACAGTTTATGAGAACCTTTTCCATTTTATACAACACATGAAAGGAAAATGACTGCTTAAGCCGTGGACAGCAGTTTGTTGATTCTTTTTTTTTTTTTTTTCTCCTTTAAGATGCAGGTTTTAAAATCTAAATATATAGAAAATTTATTGAAACACTTCTTGCACTGCTGGTAACCGCATCTGTTGAACATGACCGTCAGCTCTCAGAGGAGACAGCTGGACTAATTCTGCTCATTTTGCAAATACAAATGAGGACTGAAGTCACTGGGGTTTTTTTTTCATTACAACAGTTTTGGAATCAAAAAGCATCAAAGGTGTTTTGGATAATTGTCAAAAGTGAAATGAATTAACATAAAAAATTATTTTGCTTCTTTAATTAAGCAAAGCCGTTTTCTGAAGCTCAGTTTGCAGTTTGGGAACACAGAGATTTCAATGGCTTGTTAATGAAAAGAACCTTATGTTCTTCCTGCTGTGTATCATTAGATTATCAAAATGATATTTTTCCCCGCCTGATGCGTGAAGTAACTGAAAACCAATTACTTCTGTGATTAAATCTTCTTTTATCACAAATAAAAGGCTCTGAAAACATCTCAGATTCTTCTACAGCTTTAAAATCTACAGAGCCTATGGCCTTAGAAAGGCAAAGCATATCAATTTCAAAGGAAAAGTCCACAAATTTAAGTGAACTTTAATCTTGAACACCAAGATACACAAATTCAAGGTGAAAAAACATCTACTTTCAATTTGGGTAAAAAGCACACGCCACACTGCCTTGCCTCCAAAATCTTACAGAGAAGTCCTATATATTTAGCCTGCCTAGCAACTATAACTTGAATTGTTTGTTTGTTGTTTCAGTTTTACAAATGCTTTCGCCTGCTTTTCCACTGTGAACCTCCTTCCTCAACTGATGGAGAGCCCACCTGCCACTCCAAGGTAACTGTTATCCAGCTGAATCAGAGAACAGACGGTGGAAAGTTGTGCAATAATGAACCACGTCCAGAAACAGACAATAAAGTCACTTCTCTCCTGCACCCAGAGTCAGGCCTGGAGCCAGCTGCAAAAACTGTACCACCAGTGTAAGAGGAAAATTGATTCTGATGAAAAATACAAGCCTTAAACAGAAAATGTTTGATTTCACTGTCATATTACCCAGCTAACCTTAAAATTACTAGAGGAAATTGCCATTTGTGGGATAAGAAAGCTGTCAAAAACAAAAACTGGGACTCTGTTATCATTTCCTTAGTAACAGTAAGGATGAGCACATCACTGAAGGTATGGTTCAATAATGACAAAATTTCAAGCAGTATCATTGACTTTCCTGTAAATTAGTTAATGGAGCACTCAGAAGTGGTAAAGTTTCAGTTCTCAGTGACCTGTGGACCTGTGCCCTCCAGAATCAATCTAAAAGATATGGACTATCTAATTTAGCTCCTTGCTTTTCCTATGTCATTCTATGCAGTCCATTCTTTGTGGTTTCAGATTAGGTAAATCAGATAACTTTAATTTCTGGCAGTCAATTCAAATATTTTGCTCGTATTGTACAAGGTTGTTTTTTGGGATTAAACGGTGCCTCACAGGGCTAGTTTCTGAGTGGTAACAGCTAATTTACAGCACATCTTTGCATTTAAGTTTAAGGTAAATGAGCTGGAAGATGAGTTAAGACAATGCCCCATCCTTGGAGGAGCTCAAAGCCTGGTTGGATGGGGCCCTGGGCAGCCTGAGCTGGTGGGGAGCAGCCCTGCCCAAGGCAGGAGCTGGGGCTGGGTGGGCTCAGAGGTCCCTTCCAACCCAAACTGTTCTGTGATTCTATGAATCTGTGAATGGCTAGAGACTACCATACACTGAGGTGTCTTTGGGCCACAGAAGTTTATCTTTCCCGGTGGAAATGTGAGTATTCTTGAGACTTCCAGACATGATGCACCTGTCAAATGCACAAATCCAGCAAAAAAAAACAATGCAAGAGTTTGTTTTCTTTAGCATCTTCAGCACCACAGTCAAAGAGACCAACAGTGTGGTACAACCAGCACTTTCATTCCAACAGCTGATGAGTGAGAACCCAGGACTCTCAGGATAACACACTTGATCTACATGATTCCAAGGACACACAAAAAACACTCCCCAAAATGCTCTTTCTTGGGGAAAAAAAAAAACCAAAACATTTGTGAGCTGCTTTCTTTGTATGAATTGAGTCCTAATTAAAATAGAAAACAAATGGGTTCCGTACTGTCCCATACCTTCTAAGATATGAACTTCCTCCACATGGGAATACCTCTAGATCTTACTGTCATCTATGTTTACAAAAAACATCTCTAATACAATAGCAGCAGTTTAAACCATGAGGACATTTGCACTAGTACTAGGATGGATTCAGTTTTTCACTGCTCTCTAAACTTGCTCATGTTATCCTGCTTTCCTCTGAAAGTCCTATCTCATTTCCATTTGTAATCACAATTATCTTTACACATTTCTTTTTGTGTTATTGCTTCCCCGCTTTCTCCTCTGCAGCTGAAATTTTCTCCCACACACACTGACCTTAGTTTCCAAGTCTCCCTTCTTTAATTCCTTTCCCTGTGCTGCTCAGAATACATCTATTTGTTTCTTTCATCTATGCAATTTTCACATCACTGCCCAATGCAATATCATCTACAAGTTTGTTTCATATCTCATCACTCCTCCTTGATCATCACCATAAAGGAGAAACAAATTTTCTGATAGCCTGTAAGGCGAAGAATTTCCATATGATACACCCAAATACTGGTGTCTGTTCACAGTTCTTAAGTTAGCTTTCAGACAATACACAATTACTACATATAAACTGTATACCAACTGGCTTACTCAGCACCTAAGTAGACTCAGCACCTAATGGAAGACGGAAAGACAGTTGCTATCACGTAAGCTTGTAGTCTGGGCAGAATTAATCCCAAAAAGATGTACATTCACATTTCCAAGCAATCTGGTCTACAGCCCTCTTTAAAGACATTGACAAGAGGCAGGTATTTCTGTGGTAAAATTCATCAGACTTATTTTAGATGTCTGTTTTATGATGGGATGAAATGATCCTTATAAACGTTGTTTTTTCTTCAGTGACTAGGTAAAAAGTGAACAGTCTGGCTCTTGATATCTGTACCTTCTCCCTTCTAGATCTGAAGCTCTTGAAGCTTAGAGAAAAATCATGTAAATACTTTTTTCAGGAACAGTGGATGAAGAAATGAAAACAAGGTGTGACTCATCTGACCAAATCTGCCCAATGATGCAGACACCCACACCTCAAATAGCTATCACAGATTCCTTTGCTGTCAGAGGAAGAAAGTGCATTCTCAGGATGCAGTGCCTGTCAACTCATCCTATAGTAAGCATTTAAACATGGATCATGTGAAGAAGTTCCTTCTGATGATGATGGGAAAAAAGGAATGGTAGCACAGATAACTTGTATTTCACTTGTATTATACCTCTCTCTCAGTACAAGCCAGAAGTTTTACACGTAGAAAGGAGCACAGGTCTAACAGACATATTTATCTTTTGCTCTGCTGTGTCTGAGGCTGACAATCACACTATCACAATCATAATGTGGAGGCATCTAAAGCTAGGATGTATGAATCCTGCACTCTAACTAACCTGGCTATGAACAGAAATCAGTTTTATGCACAAGGACCAAGCTGATGGGAGATTGCCTTTTTCCACTCATAAAGATGTACGGGAATCAGAGTGGAAGTGGCAAATAACAAAGTATTTAGGGAAGACCAGAAGACAAGGCCAGATTGGATGGGGCTGTGGGCAGCCTGGTCTAGTATTAATGGGGAGGTTGGTGCATGTAGCTGGGGGGGGTTGGAAATTCATGATCCTTGAGGCCCCTTCCAACCCTGGCCATTCTGTGATTCTGTGACATGCATGACTTAAGAAAAGGTAAAACCTGAAGGAGCTATCTACAGCACGCAAACGGCAAAATGGAGAAGTACTTCTTAGAAAGGTGAATGCCAAGTAGAATTCATGGGGGATACACAAAAAAAAACGCTTTTATTTATTGAGTAATCTCAGTAAAATCTAGATTAGCTTGATTAATCTAAATAATCTACTAGTAGCAGTATTACTACCGTGCCTAGCTAACTTGGTCAAGAACCCATTATTGTAGAAAGAGTATAAAGAGTAGAAATATTGTCAGTTTGAGTGATGAAATCACAGTGGGGTCTGGAAGGACCCACAGAATACTTCAGAGGGAAAGGGATCTCCCAAGCTTGCTGAGTCCAATCTCTCCCATCAGATCAAGTACAGCTCTGAAGTTAGATCAGTTTTCTCACAGCCTTGCCCAACTCAGCACTGAGTATCTTTAAGAATGGAAATGAAACTCAAAATATTTTCAAAAGTTTACTGAAGCATTCAAAAATAACATGATAGGCATGACTTCTCTTCCAAGTTTGATGATTATGTTTTAATATTTCTAGATCTTAATTATCCAATCAAAAATTCATAGAAAGGAAAAGGTCAAGCTATGTTGTGTAATTTTAGCTTTGGCAAACATGACTGGTACAACCATACATTCAAAATTGCAGCTGAAGACACTTCTTCATTGAATAGAATATTCTCTTTTCTAATCTATGATAATACCCTTGTTGGATTTTCCATCTTTCAGAAATCCTCTTAGGATTACAAATGTAAGATGGAAAAATGCAAGATAATTCTGCTTGTGTAGGGGAAACTTGTTTTATAGTAATTACTCAAAGGTGTACTTTATTAATGTTTTATAGGTGAATGACAACGCTCCTAACTACTGTGTTGAAAAAAATACAGGACTGTGAGCTTTACTTCGTACAGTATGTTGAAATATATTACTCCAAAGAAATGATGTTAGAGAAACAGTCAGTGTGCAAGTTTCTTAAAGCAGCACAATATTAGATGCCAGAAAAGTATGGTGGCTTTCAAAATATGATATATTAATATTTCTAAATCCTCACAAGGATGTGTGTCTTTTTTTTTCTTTTTTTTTTTCTATTCAGCAGACTTTCATGATGTTAGGATGCTTAGGGTATGGTTTAAACTCAGTCTGAGTGGCCTAAGTAAATTCCTGGAATTTTACAATCTGTGCTGAAAACATTTAAATCAGAATTAAATTATTTGCATGGACAGTTTACAGAAATAAATTCCAACACAAGCCATTCTGTGACTCTACGACTCTATGATTATGGATTCTAATTGGAAGGAGAAAATGTTTCTTAATTTGTTCTTTGTGATTTTAATGACCCAACAGTTTTCCAATTTTCAACATGGATCTTTTGTACAGTACAATTAGGCTTTGTGGTTAGCACGCTAATTTAAAAATAATGTTCTCTAGATTATAAGAAAATAACCTATAGTTTAATACACCTGAATACAACAGATGCTGTACAAAAGCATCTAAAATAATGTATCACTTAAACATTCAGCAAAAGTTCAGCATTGCCTTAACAAAATTTAAGAGATGCTGGAAACATCTGAATAAGCATAATCCGATTATTACACTTACAATGTGACTCACTTCACACACAGCACAAATTTATTTACAGGAAAGAATTAAAGCTGGATGCACCAATATGTCTGTGTTTGATAACACGAGCACTTGAAAGCATTACAAATGCACATAAAGTGTTTAGAAACTATAGTTTTCTAAATGCTAGGCTACTTCTATCAACTCTATTTTTTCACTCTTGAGTGAACAAATTAGCTTGCTGGATTTCAGATACCACAGGAAAATTTGTTACTCCTTGATTCAGGGCCAAATTTGCTTCAGGTATCCTTTTGAACACACATAAAAAGAAACTTTGAACTTTCAAAACTACTCTGTTTATTAAAATAGGTTCTTTTACATCTGTTTAGTTGATGTACTATGACAAAACTAACTGAAATAGAACATTACCTAAATTTGAAGAAAAACAAATACTTACTAAGGAATTTAATCATTACCAAATGCCTAAGCCTAACAAATTGTGTAATACTTGTTATCTTGGATGTATAATACTCACATTATGTACTAGAGCTAGAAAATGACATATCTGTCACAATGTGGAATGCAAAAATCTATACATTAATCACAGTAATATACTGTGTAA